AGCGGGGGGTCTGCTTCTCCCTCTGACCCTCTTCCCTCTCGTGCTCTCTGTCTCTCATTCTCTCTCTCAAATAAATAAATAAAATCTTTAAAAAAGAAAAGAAAAATGGTATCTCAATAGAATTGTTGGGTCCGAGGTCCAAGGTTGGGTCTGACTGTGTTAACCAGAAGTGTCCTCCAGAGAAGCCTGATCTTATCTCGGCTTCTTTCTCACCCAGCTGGCCCTATACACAGAGAAGTTTGAGGAATTCCAGAACACTCTTTCCAAAAGCAGTGAGGTGTTCACCACATTCAAACAGGAGATGGAGAAGGTAACAGTGTCCAGGCTGGGTGTGGCTGCAGCGGCTCACTGGGCCTGTCTTCCAGAAGCCCCAGCCCCTGGGGTGCCTCCTGGGGAGCTGTTTACAGTAACAGTGTGATTGATACCAAGGGTGGGCTGTAAGGAGGGATCCGAGCCTTTCCCCACCTCTCAAGGAAGCATCACTGATAAGTATGTCCTCCAGGTTGTCCTGGACAAGGGGCAGCCTTGTCAGTCCTTGGTGGTGGTGGTGGCATTGACCTTGAGATGTCCCAAGGTGGCACCAAAGGCACTGACTGCGCCCGTAATACCTTGCCCTGTTGGGACTGTTCCCCACCTTGGAGACACAGATGCACAGATGGTCTGGCCCCCTGACCATTTCCTTCTTTCTGTCCCATAACCCAGATGACTAAGAAGATCAAGAAGCTGGAGAAAGAAACCACCATGTACCGGTCCCGGTGGGAAAGCAGCAACAAGGCCTTGCTTGAGATGGCTGAGGAGGTGGGTTGCGTGTGCTCCGCAGCTGGGGCGGGTGGGGGGGGGGGCAGCGGGGAGGCAGTTTTTGAGTGTTGGGCCCTTTCCTCTGCATCCTACCAGTAAGTCATGCAGCTGGCGTGAGATGACGCTGGGACTTACGTGTCCATCTGTCCAAAGGCACTGCCGACTGTTGCCCCATGGGAGATGGTGAGCCCAGTGGTAGGTCTGCAGTAGAAGCAAAGAGAACAGATATAAGAAATACAGGAACCGAAAAACCAAGGAGTACCAATGGTGCGCACAGTTTATATGCAGAGTAGCTCAGCTAATTTGATTTCATGGTTTGAGATGCAGAAGAAAGGAACTAGTTGCTGGAGTAGCTACTATATACTAGACCGTCCTGAATGTTTTAGGTAATGGCAGTTCATTGAACCTTCTCAAGATCTGTGAGGTTGATGTTAGCCTTTTTTTTTTTTTTTTTTTTTTTGTTGAAGATTTATTTATCTAGGGGCACCTGGGTGGCTCAGTTGGTAAAGCATCTGACATCTGACTTCGGCTTAGGTCATGATCTCAGGGTCCTGGGATCGCCCCAAGCTGAGCTCCCCATTCATTGGGGAGTCGGCTTGTCTCTCTGCCCCTCAGCCCCTCCCCGCCCTTGTGCACATGTGCATGCACTCTCAAATAAATAAAACCTTAAAAAAAAGATGTATTTATTTGAGAGAAAGCATGTGTGCACATGCATGTGTGAGCAGAGGGGAGGGGTACAGGATTGGGGAGAGGAGAGGATCTCAGGCAGGCTCCTTGCTGAGCACAGAACCTGACGTGGGGCTCTATCTTGTGACCCTGAGATCATGACCTGAGCTGAAATCAAGAGTTGGATGCTGAACCGTTGGAGCCATCCAAGCACCCCAGTAGGCCATTTTAACAGATAAGGAAATAGGCTTTAAAAGCCAGGTCTTACTTTGTGTCATCTGACGGATAAATGGAGAAATAAGTGGTCTTCAGGGCACGCCCCTTCTCGGCACCACACTGCCCCCTACCAGCAGCCACGTCTTGGCACACACCAGGGCTGTTTCCCTAGGAAGGGACCAGCTTTTGGCTCTGGTCTGCTCCCAGTATCATTCAAGTGTGAATGTTTTCTACCACGTGACTCTGTGGTGTGGGGGGTTGATGGTGTGGCACTGAGGCCCCATTTCTCTCCCTAGAAAACACTCCGGGACAAAGAGCTGGAGGGCCTACAGGTGAAAATCCAGCGGCTGGAGAAGCTGTGCCGGGCGCTGCAGACAGAGCGCAACGACCTGAACAAAAGGGTACAGGACCTGAGTGCTGGTGGCCAGGGCTCCCTCCCTGACGGCGGCCCTGAGCGAAGACCGGAGGCTGCAACTGCCTCCAGGGATCAGGGTTGTGAGGGTCCTGGAGCCCAATCACCGAGCTCCCCGAGGGTCACAGAAGCTCCTTGCTGCCCTGGAGCAGCGAGCACAGAAACACCCGGCCAAGCGGGGCCCCAGGAGTCCACCTCCACCACCGCCTAGGGAACCTGGCACGGGGGGCGTGCTGGGAAGGGAGCAAGCAGCCCAGCCAGGCCTGGCCCAGGCAAGGCTCCCACCGCTAAGCAGTCCAGTGCTGAGGCCCAGGGTGCTCCGACCTGGCTGGCATCTGACACTTGGCAGTTTTGGATTTCGTGGGTCAGTTTTACATACATACGGCATATGTGCAAGGCCTCCTACCTTTCTGTCTCTTAAGTGGAACATGGGCTTGCACTGGAGGTGGGGGTGTGTACAGGTGAAGTCACTGGCTCTTCTGTGAGCTGAAGAGTCTGAAAGAGGAGCTGCCATCTGTAGCTGCTGTCACAGTGAGCTGGCAGGACAAGTGACTTGAGCATTCCCCTGCCTGACTTGAGGCTCAGATCCCCCCCTTCCTGCCCATGAGGACTTGTGACAAGTGATACACTCAGGCCTTGACTGCATTTCCCTCGTTAGCAGGGCTTGGGCAGCCCTGGCTCACCTAGCTCCCCTGGAAGCTCCTTTGCTTCTCTTAACCTGGAGAAAGGGGTCCCCGGGCGGGGCCTGCAGAGCTGGGGATCCAACTGCTGTCCTGCTTTGGACGGGGGACCTGGAGAAAGTTGCTGTGGGCTGGTACACGGTTAGGGAGCCCTCAGGTGGTGCCAGGACCAGGCCAGCGATGCTTCTCAGTAGCCTTATCATTCACAGGTGCCTCTCTAGCCTGCACAAATGATTGACAAGAGATCACCCAAAGGATGCTTTCTGAAGGTTTCTGTTTTTTGTTTTTGTTTTGCACATGACAGTGTGTGTATTGATCTGAGGAAGGAGGAGGGGCATTGGCGCAGTTGGCCTCCAGTGCCCCCCACCCTCAACACCCCACCTGGTATCTTTGCCACGTTGGTGCTGAGCTTTCCTGTTCGGTGAAATCAGATTGCAGTTAGGAGGAAGAGAAGGGCATCTGATGGTTTTGCCACAAGCTTGCCTATGTGTTTCGGTCCTGGGAGGCCACTGCTGATGCTCATCACCACTGTCTCCATGTGGCAGTTGCTGGGCCCCGTGCCCAACTGTCCCCTTGGCTTTTAGGAGTCTGTTTCTGCTTCTCACCCCACCGTTAATGTGCAATCCTTGAGATTTGCCCTGGTCCCATTGCCTAAAGAATAAGCTTTGGACATAATTATGTCCTTGATGTCTCAGTTCCTGTGTGGAAGCCCCCAGCTCTTGTCTGGCAGCTGAGGGACAGAATGAGACTTGACAGTTGATGAGCTTCAGAAATCTGCAGGACGGCTGCAGATACTCGGGTCTGGTGCCCCCACACCCCCCAGTACTTGCTGCTCTGGACTGAAAATTTTGCCGGTTGTATATTCATCAGTCTGTACAGAGCAATTTTCTGGAACAACAGAATGAGGCACGGGTTGGGAAGCTGGGCTCTGGTGGGCGTGAGGTCCTACACCCTGCCTCTGGCTGGGCCTCGGCTTCAGTGTAGCTGGGGGAGCCGTGGACCAAGAGGCACAGGATGGTGGAGCTTTTGTTTCTTGCTGGATTTCCTTGAAGCTAGTTCATTATCCTGCAGGTCCCCCCCCCCGCCCGGCCCTTTGTCAGGCTGAGACACACAACCGCGTACAGGGTGTGCTGGGCTCTGGAAGCGCAAGGAAGAGGCAAGCTGCTGCCTGGCCGGTTTCAAGAGCAGGAGGCATGCGGTAGCCTACACGATTGCCTTGCTTGCTTCAGCCACCTCGTGGAGCCCACGGGGCTGAGGGGGACCACGACTGTGCAGCGCAGCCGGCCCCAGAGAGCCAGTCTAGCTGCTGTGGGGCTGCGGCGAGCAGGGCGGTCCCAGCCGTGTCTAGGCGTCCGGGCCAGGCTACAGATGAGGCCCCCATTGTCCCTCTCCCTCTCCTCCCCGTTGGCCAGACCACGCTGAGCACTACAGCGGCTCTGCTTGTTCTGCTTTCCGGCCCCGAGCCTGGGCCGGGTGCGGGGGAAGGTGGCCTGTACGGATGAAGGCTGGTGCCATCCTCCCCAGGGCAGGGCCCAAGCACATGACCTCAGTTTTGGGACCAAGAGCTGTGTTGGATTCTTAGGTTGCTAGCGTTTCAGGGGACCACTGCCGGTGAGGCTCACCGCCCCGAGCCCTTGGCCCTGCTGACGTAACGTGTGCTCCGGACCTTGCCGGCCTGAGAGCCTCGCGTGCACCAGGTTCCCGGGAGGTATCAGCAGCACTCGTTTTCTTTTGTTTTCCATGAGGTTTTTGGACCATGGGTTGAGCTCAGGCACTTTCTGTGAGAGGATGTTCTGTCTGTAAAGATGGTTATCTCCGCTCCCATCACAGTGGCCCTGCTGAGGGCCAATCGAGAGGCCCTGGTGGCTTGGCGGGGGGGGGGGGCGCGCGGCAAAGCCTACTGAGCTGATTCTCCAGCTGCTGCCCGGGCCTCCCACCTGAACAGCACAGAGGTGGCCGCCCCAGGGACAGCCGGGCACCTGCCTGGGGGAGGGGTGCTGCCTTCTGTCCCTGTAACTGCTTCCCATATGGCCCGACCTGGCCACCCAGATTTGTTTTAAAGCTGTGCTGACAGCCTTTTTTTTTTGTCTCCTTTTGGTATTCACAACAGCCAGGGACTTGATTTTGATGTATTTTAAACCACGTTAAATAAAGAGTCTGTTGCCTTACTTGTTTCTCTCCTATGTGGTTAGTTGGTGCTTCTGGATCCACCTAGCCGTCACTGACTTGTCTGGATCTGCTGCAGAGCCTTTGGCTGGGCCATATCATGCATCTTCCGGCGTGCGCCCTGCCTGCCAAGTCACCACAGGCAAATTCATTTGAGCTGCCTGAGCAGAGCCCATGGCAAAGTTGGCATGATGCTCAGATACATAGAAGCATCAGATTTCTTTCATTCAATGACAAGTTGCCCCTGTCCCATGAGGGGTCAGGCTAGTGATGAAGAAAAGATACTTTTTTTTTTTTTTTAAGTACTCTCTATGGGGCGCCTGGGTGGCTCAGTCGGTTACGCTTTCTTTCTCTCAGAAATCTTTTTTTTTTTAAGATTTTATTTATTTGACAGAGAGAG